GAGAGAGAGAGAGAGAGAGAGAGAGAGAGAGAGAGAGAGAGAGAGATCGTACCGCGCACTCAATGACTGGGAAACCAAGATCACGATGTTGTTAGCCTACTTAATATCACTCTTTCACGATCAAGTGACTGACACCAGCTACAGACTATCGGCACTTTGATAGTTTAATTAAGTGATAACACGTTTTGACACGTACGCGGTACTCGACATTGATTCATTTTTTAAGACAGTCCATATCCAATGTAATGACGAAGTCCGCTTAGACGGAACACGTTTAATCCGAAGACAGCGGCTATAAATGAAAGTAAATAAAGTCCCTGATTTGTTCTCTATCTGGGCAACCTCTTTTAACCGAAAACAGCCCGAAGCCGAAAAAAATCTGGCGGTCCTGCTGATTTCAATACATTGTAAAAGCGGGCTCCTTTGTAATTTTTTTTTAAATGTGTACATTGTTTATCATGTATGTATGTAGCTCTTTACTTTAGAAAGATCGAAACTGTTAATAAGTGACGTGTGATTCGGCATATTGACTCGTGACCTTATACTTATAGTTAAAGGGTAGTTGGGTTTGTTTGTTTGTTTGTTTGTTTGTTTGTTTGTTTGAGTGTTTGTTTGTTTTTGTTTGTTTTGGTGTTGCTGGTTGTTGCTTTTTGTGGTTGGTTTTTTGTTCTTTTATAAACTAGTCATTGATGCAAATATGGCTTTAATTTTAACATGTTAAGCTTTGTGCAAACTGGTATTGACGTTTTGATTTAGATGAACATCTATTACCGTTACATAAACCTCTTCTAAGGTGCCAAGATCTCCGAAAGATCGATAGTTATGCTCTATTAAACATGCTTTTTCACGCTCAGTGCAAGGTCATATATAACCTCCTTTGCCCACGACATGCTTTTCCTCAACTGTACATAATGTTTGTTTGATTGCAATTATTTGTTTAATTGTTGGAGTAAAGAAAAGCACATCAACACAATAATTGTAATTTAGGGCTGGGAAAAAGGAAGACAAAGAGTCAGAAACATCTGAGGGAAAGAAAAGTACATATAGTATAAAGACCTACCAGTGGCGCCCTCCAACCATCCGCGAGTACAGAGTGATCTATAGCAAAAGGTTTTAAAAGGGGAAAAAATCCAAACATAAAAAAATACATGAGTGTAAGCTGCTGGTAACTTCCAGAAATATGGTAAAGAATAATCTCTGTCGCGATAACCACCGCACAGACGTAAGTCTTAAACAACGTTGTAACTTGAGGTGGGCTTTTTTAAGGCTTAAGCCTTTATAACCTGAGAGTCCACACAAAGGGATGGCTTTGTTTGCTCTACTCATGCTAAGCTGTAAACTGGGTCATTTCCTTGATCCAAACGAAGTCAATAAAAGAGAAAACAAGTTTTAATTTTAGTAAAATATTTACGGTACTTGCAACACAGCTAGGTCATAATTTCTTCTTTTTTTACAAGTGCCAAAGATAAGAGAAGGTACAAGAGAGCGATATAATACAGAGAAGAGGAGAAGAGATAAATGACGATAGACGTTTAATATGAAAGAAGACAACCACACCAGAGCACCCGCTAACTATAAATTATGTCTGGCATGAACCGGATGATTCACTTTTGAACGAAACAAAGATATTCAAAGAAAACTAGGATATATTGGTATTTTGCGTTTTTTCAAAATAATGTACATGTGTATACAATGACAATGACAATCTTTATTCATCTCACAAGGAGAAATTTGTCTTGGTCGTTTAATTACAATGGCAGAGGAATGTTACAAAGGTTAGGTGCACTCACGCATACACACGACAAGACAGGACATAAAACAATATATCTCACGTACTGATACAACACACTCTGTAAAACACACACACACACACACACACACACACACACACACACACACACACACACTCTCTCTCTCTCTCTCTCTCTCACTGTATGTGTGTGCGCGCGTGTGTGTGTGTGTGTGTGTGTGTGTGTGTGTGTGTGTGTGTGTGTGTGTTTTACAGAGTGTGTTGTATCAGTACGTGAGATATATTGTTTTATGTCCTGTCTTGTCGTGTGTATGCGTGAGTGCACCTAACCTTTGTAACATTCCTCTGCCATTGTAATTAAACGACCAAGACAAATTTCTCCTTGTGAGATGAATAAAGATTGTCATTGTCATTGTATACACATGTACATTATTTTGAAAAAACGCAAAATACCAATATATCCTAGTTTTCTTTGAATATCTTTGTTTCGTTCAAAAGTGAATCATCCGGTTCATGCCAGACATAATTTATAGTTAGCGGGTGCTCTGGTGTGGTTGTCTTCTTTCATATTAAACGTCTATCGTCATTTATCTCTTCTCCTCTTCTCTGTAT